TATATATATATATATATATATATATATATATATATATATATATATATTACACACATGCTGCCGACAGGAAGGAGAGGAGTCAAATAGAGGAGAGACAGAGGCATATAAGTGGTGGCTGGAATTGGACTTCTGAAGGAACAAATTCGACAGTTGTTGTAGAGAAAACAGAGACATTCACAAGACGGTGAAAGACGGCACGCGCAATTGGAATAAATCACGTTCCGTCAATTATTGGTGATGTCGTTCCACTTCTCTTTGTTTAATTTTAACATTATGCTCAGCTAGATTATTTTGTGCTAGGATTTGTGATGAACCTTATATTATGAATTCTTAATCTTGAATTTTATTTATTTGACGTTAAAACATGTTTTTAATTATTGAACGATTGGCATGAATTTTATTTTCTCTACAATTATGTGCGCAATAGTTGTATGAGATTTGTGACTTGTTTTACCCTCGAGAGATAGAAAATAAGTTAGACATTATGTTAATTGTCGTAAAGTTCGATAGGGGATAGAAATATACCGCTATACTTTACATGATCTTTAAGTATTCATAAATCTTTAATGTATTTTTATATGTTCGCATCCGTCATAGAAATATAGTTGGATCGCATGTGAAAATAGGTTTAATTCTACTCGAGAGAGATTGTTAAACAAATTAGGAATATTGGTCTTCATAATTGAATTGTGCTTTCAATTTTATAAAATCTGGATTAAAAGGGATTGATATAAGGGGATTCGGGATCTTAGTACGCATTTCGTTATCATATTTTTATAAAACTTGCATTTAGTTATAATCACGCATTTAATTTAGTTAATTTAGGCTTTATATTTATAAGTAGGTTATTAAATCATAATTTAGTTAGCGAAAATATCAAGAGTTTCTATTGTTTCGGTTAAGGTGAAGATAATTTAAATTTAAACTAATACAATCTTTGTAAGACGATACTTGGACTCAAAAGGTCCACTTTATTACTTGAACGCGATCCGTGCACTTGCGGTGTAGGATTTTAGCGAACACAATGAAGATGTCAAATGATATTGACATTTAAATGCCTAATAATGGTGCATGTACATCCAATTCAACTGATCAATAAAGATCAAATACGGAAGTACCAAGACAGAAGAAATATAGAGAAAAAAACAGCAAACTTTATGCAAGGGGGGTTGTAAGCTTATAGATGCTAACAAAATTGCTAAAATTTCTTTAATATTCCCATTTTGTGAAATACAGCCACAATAAGCAATATAAATATGCACCAAAAAAAAAAAAAAAAGAGGGAAAGAAAGAAAAAGAGGGGGAATGAACGGTTGCTTTTTATCCCTGAATAATAACATGTTCATATCGCACTTTCCAAGCATCCCTGAATAATAACATGTTCATATCGCACTTTCCAAGCCCATATGATCCTTCCTTTTTCAAAATTCACAGCAACATGTTTGAGATCACATGATAGAATAGGCATATTGCATAGCTAAAAGAGAAGTGCAAGGAAAAGTAGCTTCCAGTTTTATGAACTAAGCTCTAGTGTAGAACTGAATTCCCATCCAAATTCCTTGTGTTGAAGAAGAGAAATAATGAGTTACAAGGAAAAAGATGCAGAAAAGAATTAGTCGGAAACCAATTCAACACAAGCATTCTGCAGAAATGATATAACAAAAAAATGGTTTACAGCCAAAAAGGGAAAATACAAGAAAAGAGGACAAACACATAACACTAGCAAGTATACAAGGAACCATCACAGCCTAGACATGACTCAACAATCCAAGCTCCTATGGTCAATTTACCTTAACTCCAAATTAGAGTCATGAGCACACTAAAACCAAGTAGCAACAAGAGAATCTTCAGGGTAAAATCTGCTCGCTGCTGTCGATTTCCAAACCGATGGAATCCACGAGTATGTCCACCATGGAACATATTAAAATGCCCATGAGGATAACCATGGCCGGGTCCATACATATTCGCTCCAGGGAAACCACCCTGCACTTGAATGTACGAGGGAAATAGACCCCCTAGTGATGCAGATAATGTGAAGTTCCCGAACCTTGGAGAAGCCATAGGTGCAAACCCCCCGATGGGTCCAAACCCTCCCATAACTCCAAGTCCTTGCTGTGCAAAAGCATTAGCATTTGGATCTGGCGAAGGAGCTGTCTCAGGGCGCTGTCCCATTGGACGATGTGGAATATCTATTCCAAGAAATGACTTAGAGCGAGGGTCAGACGAGTTTTTCCCCCTGCCATATAAAGGGACTAGCTTCTCCTCCTCAATGAGGGCCTTACAAACTGGGCATTCTTGCAAATGAGAGTGGATATGAAGCCATTTGTAAAGGCAAGGCCAGCAAAATAGGTGACCACAACGAGTGACAATCGGTTCCTGAGCCAAGTCGAAGCAAATATTGCACTCGAAATGTCCAGCATCATTGTTGTTATTGTTACTGCCTGAGCATGCTGGTTTTGGGGGCTCCCTGTTCGTCGATTTCCCAAGCCTACTCGCCATCATTCACAATCAAAATACTCGAATCTCCTACTCTGCAAGCAAAAATTTAAGTTTTGAAGAACATTTCTCCTCAAGCAAAAAACTCCTCTGACGAAGATATAAGCTAATATTTCAAAAGAGCTTCATCAATCACTTTGCTAGAAGCATATAAATGTCGAATCCGTTGGAGGAAAACCAAACGAGATTGAATTGGATTCATTTTAATTATTAAAAAAAAAAAAAAAGCCAAACCCAACAAAACCAAAAGGATCTGATTTCCAAATACACGCAACTCAAAGGTCACTTGCTCAAATTGAACGTAATTCACCAAAGGTCCAAAAGGATTCATAAAGGGTCTCCAATTTCGATCCCAACAAAACATATCAAGCATTAATAATCAAATTACAATAATAGCCGAATCACTCGAATTCAATGAAAAGATAATATGATCTAACGTAATCAAGAATATTAATCACGCCAAAAGCAAAAACTGAAAAAAATAAAATAAAATCACTACCACTGCCAATAATAATAATAAATAAATAATAAAATATTAACTTACAGAGAATGGGGAAAGGTCCCTCTGGGATAATGGAGGGATGAATCAATAAGGGAATGAAAATCGGAAACCAAAACTCCCTTCGTTCTTACCTCCCCCAGTGAACTGGCATTTATGTTTTAGTATACAGGTAGGAGGATCTACTTTAAACAGTGTGAAGTAATTGTATGAAAAGTTCAAGAATGAATTAATTGGGTGTTGGGTTCGACAGATAGTTACGAGGATTGGATTGGTCAACGATGTTTAGCCGGTAGATTATCTATTATTGAATTAAAAATTCAAATAGAAATATATGATTAAGAATTAAAAGATATTGCAAATTACATTTTTTATTGTTATAAGATATATTACAAAATTATCTCGAGACAAATGCAATAATACTATTGTCTTTAGGCAACTTATCAAGCAAGGAAATTAAAGAAAAGTGAAAACTAACTTTTTGTTCAAGATTTTTTTCTCTCTTTATTTAACGATGAACCTTCTTCGTTCTTATTTTTAGATATGTGTACTGATGCTACCAAAAATCGTACCTGCAAATTTTCCGAGCTTGATGACTGATGAGCACGAACGTGATCTTCCGGTACCTGAAACAAAGGCAACGAGGTGTGTTCTCGTCGCCCCTTCGATGCTTAAGTCAAAAAGGGAATTATATGTGTGAGGCTATATGCTAGAGAACAATGAAAAACGTACTTGAATAATGACCCAAGGTTCTGCTTTTATAGGGGTAGGTAGTGCACTCCTTGTAGAATTGTGCTGGTTGGGTGTTTTTATCCAAGGGAATTCTATTTATAAAGAATGCCCTACTTGTAATGGAATTGTTTGACAAGTGGTATAAGGGTTGATACAGAATTCTTGGGTGTTTAGGTTTGTCTGTTACGTACCTAGGTCTTAGAAAGTATGTTGGTGGTATATGTCCCGAGGACTATTCTCGAGGACTTGAGAGGTTGATGTTAATATTTGCACGAGCTACCTTGAGGACCAAAATACCTCGAGGTCTCAAGGAGACCTTGAGGACCATAGCAGAAGCTGGAGCATATATAGAGTCCTCGGGGTGTACTCCTCGGGGTATATCAATATTAGCTCGCCACTGGCCCCCGTGCACTCCTGCTAGGGATCGAGCTCTTAGGATGGGGTGCACATGAGTTATGTCATTTCAGGAATCATCGTCGAGAAGTGATGGTTGATAAGGCTCGAGACTTTAAGTTATTCCATAAGCTAGGTCTTAAGTTTGCTAAGTGATGTCGAGTAGTGAGGGTCGAGATTCTTCTAGTAGTTCTAGTAGTAGTGAGGACGTAGGAACGTCGATAATTCCGACGGCTATTCCCCTAGAGGCTACTCCCGAGGCTCAGGTTAATATGATCTTTGAGTATCCCGACGAGCCCTGTAGGCTTAAAGAGCACTCAGCCATAGTTGCAGCTAGGGAATATGGTATTATGCCTAATTGCGATGTTAGATTTCCTGGCCCCGAGGATAGAATTGTTCGAGCTCGACGAGGGGAGTTTGTTATTTTTAGGGAGACCCTTAAGGCCGGCTTTAGGTGGCCCCTTCACCCCTTTTTCATTGCTCTATTAGTCGAGCACTACATGTGCCCGGGGCAGTTAGTGCCCAACGCCTAGAGAATGCTCGTATATTTTTTCATAGCATGTAGATACTTAGGTATCAAGCCCAACATTGACCTCAGTAAATTAGTGTTCGAGCTTAAGAAGCATCCTCGATACACTTGTTTTGGCTATCTCTCGACGATTGGGGATTTTAAGGTCCCGAGGATGGCGAGCTCTTTGAAGGGGTGGAGGAAGGGGTGGTTTTATGTTATAGCCCAAGAACCCGACCTTCCTTTCTGGCCTGATTGGGGAATCCCCGACGTCGAGAAGTTCTGTGAAGGCCAGGTGTATCCAGATGTTTTGGAAGAGCATAGGAGGATGCTGGTGGGGCTCAGCCCCCTTTTCTCGACGATGAAGGAGATTGGGGAAGAGGTTATAGACCTGGCAGATATTAGAGGCGTCGAGGGTAGGGACGTTCCTTTATTATTTTTTGAAAAATAGCTTGACCTTGTGCTCGTTCTGAAATGTTTGTAAATTTTGCAGGCATGTCTTTTGATCTTCGAGCTCTCTGGAACTTTGTCAGCACAAGGACTGAGGCTCATCCACAGGGGCAGCCCTTGAAGAAGAAAGGCAAGAAAAGGCGTCAAGGAACTCTTAAGGGTGTGAGGGGGCCTGGCGAAACATCTCGAGCACATCCTCAAGTCTCAACCCCTCTGCAGTCGAACCTCAGATCCCCCACTCCTCGGCCTCCTTCTGAAGTGGTTGACCTTGAGGATGACCCGACTCTTACCGGGGATTTTGAGACTTGCCACCTCGCTCCTGATCTCGTGAACAAATACAAGGAGGAGGTGAAGCTCGAGGATGGGTTGAAGGTCCTCAAGAGTCTTACAGTGAAGGTAATCTTTGAACTTTCGACTTTAGCCTCAAGTTTTGTTGTCGAGATTAATACTTAACATTTTCTCCATTTTTTCCAGATGTTGAGTGTAGGTCGAGGGCTTTCTCTTCAAGGGCTTGAGGAGGCCAAGAGGGCAGCTAGGGTGGAGACGTCATGGCCTCCAAGGACAAGAGGATTCAAGACCTCGAGGCTCAGGTCGAGGTTTTATTGAAGGAGCGTGATGACGCGAGAATGGAGGTTGCTAAGGCCAGGGATGACCTTGTCACAGTAGAGGATGAGGTCGAGGGTGCGAGGCTCGAGCTTATCCAGAAGACAGAGAGTTTTGAGCGCAAGCTCGCAGATGTCAGGGAGAGGGCCTGGGAGGAGTTTAAAACCTCCAAGGATTGTGACAAGATAAAAGAGGAGTACGCGTCGGGGGCGTACTTCCATGCTCTGAAAGAAGCCCAGGCCTTCCTCCATCTGAAGTTGCCTGACGTCGCTCCGGATGACCTGAAGATAGTGCCTTCTATTGCTGATACTTTGGAGCTCTCGGGTTCAGAAGATGGAGGAGGATCAGGTGGAGATGAGGAGGACGGTCTTGAGGACGACGTTGAGATTGACATCAGCAACCTCGACCCTCCTCTTGGCCATATTGGATGATTTTCCCCCACCCCGATCTTTTGTAATTTTTGTTTAAATTTTGAACATGTATTTTGATCGATGATTGTGTATGTCTGTAGTTAATTTATTGCATTTGAACTTAGAATTATTTATCCCAACTCCTGGGACTTCATACATTCGAGGAAACAAACTGGAAATTAACTGCTCATGCGACATTAAAGAGTTTACTCGAGGATTCCACAACTCGAGCATATAACTATAAAGGATTAAGATAATCTCGAGTACAACTAACTTAAAAAGTAGTGATGTGAAATTCTCGAGGACTCCAAACCTCGAGCACAACTTAAAAAATAGTGATGTGCTCATGTGACATCCTCGAAGGATTGTGATATTCTCGAGGACTCCAAACCTCGAGCACAACTAACTTAAAAAGTAGTAATGTGTTCATGCGACATCCTCGAGGGATTGTCAAAAATGATGTAAGATATTTATACTTCTTTGAGTATTACTATAACGGCTTACGCTTAAGTATGTTGTATGATTAAGGCTTTTTTAAGTGCTTGCGCAGGGCAAGGCTTTTAGTTCTTGCTTGGGGCAAGGCAAATGATGCTTGTGTGGGGCAAGGCTTTTGATGCTTGTGCGGGGCAAAGCTTTTTTGAGTTCTTGCGCGGGGCAAGGCTTTCAGTGCTTGCTCGGGGTAAGGCTTTTGGTGCTTGCTCAGGGCAAGGCTTTTTGTGCTTGCTCGGGGCAAGGCTTTTGGTGCTTGCTCGGGGCAAGGCTTTTGTTGCTTACACGGGACAAAGCTTTTGATGCTTGCGCGGGGCAAGGCTTTTGGTGCTTGCTCGGGGTAAGGCTTTTGATGCTTGCGCGGGGCAAAACTTTTTTGAGTGCTTGCATGGGGCAAGGCTTTGGACTGCTTGCATGAGGGCAATGCTTACGTTGCTTGTCGAGGACAAGGCTTAGGTAATTCCTGGGCGCAAAGCAAACTATAGGGTTGTTATACCCGAGGTTTGAATTTATTAATTCCTTAGACTGGACTCGAATTTATATTGTATCCAAGCTACCTACATACCCAAACGGGATCAAGCCGAACGTAGTTTATTACAAAAGAAAATGGAAAACATGCATGGGCACGCATGCCCGCTAAACTAGAAATAAGATGCAAGGGCACGCAGGCCCGAAGAACCAAAAATAACATTCAAAAGAATTAAAAATGCAGGAAAAGAAAATCTCTTAGATGGCATCGAGAATGTTACTTGTAATATATTTTCAGATTATCGGCATTCCAGGGCCTTGGAAGAGGTCTGCCCGAAGTGTCTCCTAGGCTGTATGCTCCTTCGTGAACCTATCGTATGACCTCAAAGGGTCCTTCCCAGATGGGCTCTAGCTTCCCTGGGGGGTGACCTGCTGCTTCGGCCCTCCTCAAGACCAAGTCGTCAGCTCTGAACCTCCGAGCCTTGACTTTGCTATTAAAATGTTTTGCTGTCTTAGTTTGGTAAGAGGCCACCTTTATAGCGGCTTGCTCGCGTACTTCTTCCAAGAGATCAAGGTGTTCAGTTGTATGCCCCGAGGTTTCTGGCATGAGCCTCCTATGGCTTGGCGGTCTAATTTCCACCGGGACCATTACTTCAATGCCATAGACTAACATAAAAGGAGTTTCTCCTGTGGTTGTCCTATGAGTTGTTCTATACATACATAGTATAGAAGGCAGCTCGTCGGACCAAGAACCCCTAACATTACTAATTCTTATTCGGAGGTCTTGTAATATGATTCAATTTGTTACCTCGACCAGACCATTGCTCTAAGGATGCGAAACTGAAGTCAGACGGTGATCAATCCTAAGGTTTGAGCAAAAGTTCCTAAACTATTGATTATCAAATTGCCTGCCATTGTCGGTGATGAGGACCTTCGGTATCCTAAACCTGCAAATGATAGACCTCCAAGTGAAGGCTCTTAGCTTGGGCTCTGATATCGTGGCGAAAGGTTCGGCCTCTACCCATTTTGTTAAATACTCTACTGCTACAGCAACAAACTTTAATTAACCTCTTGCCACAGGAAAGGGGTCGAGGATGTCAATTCCCCATTGTTCAAACGGGGCCGAACAGTTAATGTTGGTGAGGTCTTCGGCTGGTGAATGGATAACATTACCAAACCTCTGGCACCTATC